CCCGCTGCCACGGCAACACTGCCGGAAAGCAGCGCCGTTAACGACAACGCCGCCGGAAAGCGATGCCGTCTCCATGGCAACGCGGCTGGCAGCGCCCTTCCTGATTGGCTGACCCGAGAACCGCCCCCCCTCCTTCCCCCGGCGGCGCCGCGGGGCATGCCGGGAAGCGCGGTCCTTCCGCCGCCGCGCGGGGGCTGCCGGGGAGCGGTGAGGTTCTATGGCGGAGCCGGCGGTGAGCTGGGCGGCCGTCCGGGGTGTTGTGGGGCGGGATGGGGGCGCTGGAGGCTGTAGGTCTGTAAGTTCCGCGGGGCTCTAGGAGGTGGCCGCAGGAGGGCTGTAGGAGCTGCGAGGGGGCCGCAGGCGGGTGCGGGCGGGCACGAGGGGTAGCGGAGCTGTAGAGGCGGAAGCGGTACGGGAGCTGCTGGGGTCCTGGGAGCTGTATGGGGGCTGCGGGGTCCCGTAGGTGATCCCGTAAGCTGTGCGGGTCCAGCAGGCAGTACCGAGAGCTGCGGGCTGCTCGGCGGGCGCTCTGGGAGCTGCGGTAAGCGATCCTCCGGGTGAGCGTCTGGGTTGCGCTGTGGGGTGCTGGGAAGCGTAGGTGTGCTTTGAGGTCCTGGGAGCGACGGAGTGGGAACAGGGGCCCTGCGTGCGAGGTGCAGAGATGGAGGGGTGCTGCGGCAGCGGTGCGGGCGCTGCTGGGAGCCGCGGGCGTGGCTGTGGCAGTGCTGCAGGGGGCCGGCGAGGCACGGAGAGGGCGTGGGGTTCAGCAGGCGGTCCTGGGAGCCGCAGGGGCGCGGTGGGGTTGTGCAGGTGCTCATGGGATGCCTGGGGGGTTATGGGTGCTGCAGAGGTTCTATAGGAGGACCGTGTCCGACCCGGCTTCCCCCGTGCAGCCTCCCGGAGGGCCGCAGCCCCGCGCCCGGCGCCTGGCGGCGCTGCTGAACCGCAGCCTGCGGGTGCGCATGTCGGACGGGCGCACGCTGGTGGGAGCCTTCCTCTGCACGGACCGCGACGCCAACATCATCCTCGGCTCCGCGCAGGAGTTCCTCAAGGCTGCGGGTACGGGGCCACGGCGGGAAATGGGGCCGCAGGGGCAGTGGGGACTCGGGGTCCCCACCCGAGGGGAGCGATGAAGTGGAGGCAGCGATGGGGAGGGCGGTTGGGGTACCGGGGGTGATGGGAGCGGGACCACGGAGAATCGTGGGGATGGGGACGTGGCGGTGAGGCTGACACGGTGCTGCTGTCCCCTGCAGATGCGTTCCCGGGCAGCGAGCCGCGTGTGCTGGGCCTGGCCATGGTGCCTGGGCACCACATCGTGTCCATCGAGGTGGAGCGCGACGCCGCCGCCGCCCTGTGCTCCTGACGGCCCCACCGTGGGACGGAGCCCTGAGTGTTGTGAACCTCTCATGTGCCCCAACGGGTGATGGACGCCTGCCATGCAAAATGACCGCCGGGACTGCGGTCCCTGCAGCCCCAGTAGAGCTCCCGTGGTGATCACGTGTCACCACGTGATGCCGTCATTCCAGTCCCCTGCAGAGCAGGACGCAGATGCCCCTTCCTCCTCCAAACACTCCGTTTTCAGCCTGAAACAGAGTTGTGCAGGTTAATTTAATCTCGGGTGCAAAATGTTTCAGTGGGCGAGAGGGAACACGCGGCAGTCCTGGTCCCTTCTAACTGCGATAAAACACCGCGGCCAAGGGGGGTCAGGGAGGAACAGGAACAAGGGGGGGTGCGCAGAGGGTCTGAGGCGGCCACAGGGTTCAGCGCCATGGCAGGGAGGGGTGGGAGGGGGCCGCTGATGGCGCCATCCCCCCGGGTTGCAGTGACGCTGAGACGCAGCCCCCGACAAGTGGTGCACCCAGGGACCTGCAGCGGAAGTCAGGAACCCCAGGGCCACCCTCCCCCCACAACAAGGCAGCCCCCACAGCTCTTCATGTAAGGTTAGAAAAAGATGCAGAAATGGTCATTTACAAAATAAAGATCCCCAAAATGCCCCTCCGGGATAGTTTCTGGTTGAAATCTGAGAAAGGTCTGTCAAAGCTCCCCCCGCCTCCAAGGTCCCTCTTAATGCTTTGTGGGTGAGGACGGGGGCAGAACGCACCCCAGAGCCTCCCTGTGTCGTGGGGGCATCAAGAGCTTCTGCGATGAGTGGGAAGGGTTGAAGACCGATTTCTGTTAACAGCAGAAAGTCTGCGTGCTTATGAAGAGGTAAAGCAACTTATTTATCACTTTATTTCGCGCTTCGTTCAAATATTTGACTGAATCCTGAGTTCTGGAGCAGGTCAAACTGGGCCAGCAGTAAGCAGACAAGTACGGAATATTTTCCAGCAGATCGTAACGTGTGAACCACAGGCACGGCTGTGACCTGCTGGTAGGAAGAGCACGCCAGACTCCAGTCAGAACATGAGAATCCGGCTCTGTCCAAGTCCCACATGTGTGGCCAGCAGCCAGAAGGACTGAGCGCGTGTGCGCAGGGTGACGCTGCCGGTCAGTTGAGAGCAAACACGTGGCTGAGGAATCTGATGCTGATCTGGTGAAAAGACTGCTAACGTGAGCCCATGTTTAAAGACACAACCACAAACACAGGGTTGCCCCAGTGACCCCTGCCAGGGCCCGCAGATTGCACCTGCCATGTTAAAGCATCTCAACAACAGTGTTGGGAAGTGGCTGCTCCACATTTTCCCACTGTTTCCGGGGCTTGTCTGTGTTCCCTCTCTCTCCATTACTGTTTTCCATTAGTGGGTTTCCATGCCCACCTGTTTGTAGGTTGTTTTCAGGTTTCAGTGTTACGCATTCCTATGAAAACCGGGGTTGCTGTTCTGTCCCTCGGGATGGAACATTCCTCTGTGTTGCAGTCTCTGGGATTTGTGCTTCAGCACAAAATGTGGAACGTGAGCAGCTCAGTTCCAGGAGTGTTCCAACGCTGCACAATGAGCGCTGCCTCCAAACACAAAGCAATTCCTACCATTCCAGAGACCGAGCACTTCAGAAGTTATGTAGGTACCTTGCATACAGTTGGGCACCAAACCAAAAGTGAATCTTGTGTGGATTTCACCAGCTGGGATGTGGAGATCCAAGAGCCTGGGCTGAGGGTGCGCAAGGAATAAGCTTGTAGGGAATGGGGGGAGGTGGGTGGCAGTAATTAAGTGTCAAGAAAGAGGGTGTTTGGAGATATCAGTGATATCGGTGGGGACTGAAGGCAAAGAATGTGAGGAGATGAAAATGAGGAAGCGAGAGCGCCTCCATTTCCAAAAGCCACATGCCAGAGTGCCTCCATCCCCACGGGAGGTGACCCGGGCACCTGGGCCCCACCTCGGAACCCCCGTTGCCTGGGCACCCAGGCAGGCCGTGCTGTGCTCTGAGACCATGGAGCGGCGGTGGCTGCCCCTCCTGCTGCTCCTGGTGCCCTGGCTTCCGGGGCTGCACCCCTGCCTGCTCTGCTTTGGGCCCCCCGTTCAGTGGGCCCGGCTCTGCCGTGAGATGGCCAGGAGCTCTCAGGACTCCCAGCACCAGCACTGCCTGGAGGCCCTCGCAGAGGCTGCTGTGCCACTTGCCCCCGTCACTGTGGGTGGGTGGTGGGACCCCAGGGATGCCCACCCCAATGGGACCCTCTGCCCCCGTCCTGACTGGCACCCTAGGGGCCACCATCTCAATGGGACACTCAGACGAGCATTCTGGGGGCCCTCAAGCATGCCACGGTCTCCCCAGTCTTGAGGTGGACTCCCCCAGGCACCCCTCAGACCCATCTGGCACTCTCCCAACTCTGATGTGGATCCCGGGGATCTCTGGGAACGCCAGACTTGCATGGAACCCTGGATGGATCCCAGCCCTGGGCAGGGGTACAGTGTGGACTTCCAGCAACTCCCAGAGCTTCCCAAGATCTTGGGGAGTCTTCAGGGATGCCTGGCCATTCCCAGAACCCCTTTGCCCTGACCTGGACTCTGGGAATCAGCCCTGAGCCCTCCTCCAGTTCTTACTGGAACCCTCCAGTCCTGACTGTGTGATGGTCCCAGTGCCCTTGTTGTGGTCCCAGGAGCAGCGCAGAGCGAAGCACTGCGGAAGATCGTCATGGATGCCTTGCACTTACTGGAGAAGCAGAAGGACAAGAGTGAGCAGGGATGAGATGTATGGGAGATTTGGGGCACAGGGGACGGGGCTCAGAGGACTTGGATGGGGATCCATGGAATATAGGATGTATGGATTTCAGGCGTGGTGTAAAGGCATATTTGGGGAATCCTGAGGGTAGACGGGTTTCAGGGTATGGAGAGTCTGGTGCTCTGGGGGATATTCAGGGGCATATGAAAGTCTGGGATCCAGGAGAGTTGCACGGGGAATGTGTGGGATGAGTGGGGACACGAGTCTTGACACTGGAAGATTTGGGGTGGGAGCACTGTCTGACATGGACATCTGTGAGCCTCCAGAGCCTTTTGAGGTGTCTCTGCGGGAAGCCATCCAAATGATTTGGGTGAAGCTGAGCCAGTTGGAACAAGGTATGGGGCCAGCAGGGACCCCCATCCAGGACTCCCCCCCCCATGCGAACCGTGGGACTCCACCCCCCAGTTTCCCCACATGGGGCACACAGACACCCCTCTAGGTCTCCACCCTGGGCATCCCTTCCCTGGAGGCACCCCCAGGGACTCCATTCCAGGGCTGGACAGGGGCTGAGCCCTTACAGCTCGTCACAGGGATGAGGACCCCTCGCGATCCCCAGTTTAACGATGCTTCCTTCCCCCAACCAGCTCCTGCCTGCATCCCCCCCTGCGGTGAGTTCTCTCGTGTTTTGCCATCCCCCCGTCCCCAGATTCCCCCCCTACCCCCTGACGCTCCCACCACCTCCTTCCCAGGGCACCAGCCGGCCGCGCGCATCTTCCAGTGCTCAACCTGCCGCCTCGTGGACTGCCAGTTCCCTGTGGACTGCCCAGGTAGGGGGCAGGGGACCGGGACGTCGCTACCCAGGCGGCGTGTCTGCCCACGACCGCCGCGAGCACCGGCGGTCGCGCAGCGGCGCGGCGGCTCCCGCAGGTGCATGAGCGCAGGTGAGCTCAGCTGGCAGTGCTCCCAGTTCAGGACTTGTGGGTCCACGAGGACGAAGCCATCACGCTGCACTGCGACGTGCCCTTCGCCGTCCCGCCGGAGCTGCAGGTTACGTGGATGTTTGCCAAGGACGTAAGCAGCAGGCGCGGGCAGTGCGCGCAGGCGCCAGGAGGGGCCCGGGCGGGGGGGCACGGCTTGAGATGAGATTGAATGCGCGGGGCCGGACCAGCTGAGCACCCGCACGAAGGGTGAGCGCGAGCACGAGCTGCTCACCGCGCGTGCGGCTTCTCGTGCGCTTCTGTGAAGAAGTGACCCGTGCGCGTGTTGGCACGCGAGCAGCGCGCGTGGGACGTGAGGTGCGATGCGCGCGCAGGAGTGTGGGACACGAGGAGCACGTGGGGACACGAGGAGCTCGCGTGTGACACGGGTGCCTTTGCGTGCACGCCCCGATGGGCCGGGTTCCCCACGCCCCAGATACGCACGCAGGACCTGGCGCTGTTTGAGGAGCTGCAGAGGGGCGTTGGGGAACCGCCCAGCCTGACCGTGCAGGACCCCACTCTGGGAACCGTCGCCTGTCGCCTGGGGGCCGCCTCTGAGACCCTGGCCCGCAAGTACTTCTACCTCAACGGTGCGCATGGATCGGAAGCCTGCAGGGCGGCGCGGGGTGCAGAGGGACACCGGGATCCCCGGGTGCACGGGGTGCGAGGAGGTGGACTACGCGAGAGCAGAGTCTCTGCACAGCCGGGGCCCCGGTGAGAGGAGAGAGCGAAGCAGGTGTTCCCTGATCCCAGCTCCCCGTGGGGCAGTGGGGTGTGTGGGGCTCCGGGGGCCACCAAGACTGTGCCAGAGCGGGGGTTGCAGGGGCCGAAGGGGCGGCAGGAGCTGAGGGGGCTGCAGGGGTGCCGTGGCTCGTGGCAGGAGTTCCCACATGCCTGGCTGGGTCCTGCAGTGTCAGGGGGAAGCGTGGAGGCCGAGCAGGGGCTCCAGGCCCGGTTCAGAGCTGTGCTGCGCTGGCCCCAGGGAAGAGCCCCCGTGCACCTCACCACATCCCTGCAGCTGGGACTGGTCCTTGGCTTCGTCAGCCTCGTGCTGCTGCTGCTGCTGCTGTGAGTGCTCGACCTGCTGCACTCGCCGTTCCCACTGTTGGGGTCCCTCACAGATCTGTATCAGGTTCCCAAGTCCCTTCTAAAGTCCCAGCACCTCAGGATGTCCCCCACAGCACAGACTGCTGTAACTCCCTGCCTGACAGAGCTCTTATTTTCCCCTGGGACTCCCTTCACACTCTGACCCATACTGAGGCTCCTCACTCACACCCAGGACCTCTCCACAGCATCCTGCTTCCCCTAGACTCCTTAACTGCCCCTGTCACTTTTCCTCATTTTCCCCAGAATCTCTGTAGTTCCTCTAGGGCCCTGCTTACATGCAGGTGACTCAGTTGTCCCCACGACCTCAAGGCCCCATACTTTCTTTCACCCTTAGATCCTTTGGTTGCTCCCGGGACCCACAGCTGCCCCACAGCCCTCTTCCCTCACCTCCAACAGATGGGGATATGAGGTCTCTTTCCCCTCCTGCTCTCTCTCCATCCTTCTTACCTCCTCCTAGGTCTGTCTGGCGATGCTGCCGAAAATCTCCGGAGCCTCCCAGACCCCAGTGACTTCCAGGCACCCCATGGACCTGGACACCAGGGCCCCAATGGGAGCGTGGATTCATGTGGACTTACACCAGGATCTTTCCTCAAGGGCTGAAACATCAGCAGCTGCTCATCATGCATTGTCTGTGGGGTGTAGCGGAGTCCTGGGTCCTATCCCTGACTCTTTGCCTGTACGGAGTGGGGGAGAATTTGCCTTTGCTTTTGTTACAAATTATAATCGTACTGTCTTGCTTATTTCTGGGAGAGAGAAGGTATGGGATAGGAGGAGATGACTCAACCCCACAGAGGCAGGAGCTGCTGTGTGCAGCCCCAGGACAGCTGTGTGTCAGAGGGTCCAACACTGCACAGCTAGGGAGCGCCTGTAGTCCCAGCTCGCTGCTCAGGTACAAAGGCAGCAGCACAATGGTGACATGCTCTGAGAACACAGAGTGGCCCAGGACAGGGCTGCACCGCCACTGCTGCTGCTGCTGCCATGCTTAATGCACTGCAGCTGTTCCCAAATGGAGCAAGTAAGTTGCATCTTGTCCTCCGCACTGAGATCTCTCTGCGCTGAGAAGCACCTGTGCAAAGGCATGTAGACATCCTTGAAGTGCAGGAGCTGGAATCCTAAACTGATTTGATATGTGTGTGGGCTCCTTGTCTTCATGATAAACTGTCCCCACCTCAGAGCTGCCCCATGCACTCTCCTGGATGGGCACTCTGGAGCAGTGCTGCTTCACAAGGAGCTCAGATCAATAGGAAATCCACGGCGAGAATTCCTGCAGTACAAAGAGCAGGGAAAACATGGGCTTGCTGGGAAAGACCTGAGCAAGGGAGATTCATCCTTGGTGGAAAGGATCAGGTCAGGAACACTTGAGCAAGCTGGATGTGGACGAGTTCCTGGGCGCTGAGGAATGCACCCGCAGCTGCTGGGGGGCTGGCGGGTGTCATGCGTTGCCACTCCCCATCAGCTTTGAGTGACTGTGGCACCTGCGAGAAGTATCCAAAAACTGGAGGAAAGCAGACAGAAGGGGAAAAGGAGAAGGGCAACTACAGCACACCTCAGCCCCTGCCGTAACTTACATGCAAATCATACCTCCTCTATGTACCCTCCAGTCTCCTCTGTTGCCTTCTAAGTGCTCTCAGATCTGTGTCCCACCCCATCCACCCCTGGATTCATCCAGTTCCCAGCACCTTGGATGCCCTCCATTCTCACCGTGACCACTCAAGGTCTCTCCAGTCCCCACTGTTTGCTCTCCCTGCTGGATGAGGACTGGCATCCAAGTGTTTGTTCAAAAGCAGCTCTTTGGAGCTCTCAGCTCCGCCGTTCCCAGCAAGAATTTCATCCAAGGAGCTGAGCACTCACAGCAGAGAGCATTCCAAGCACTCTTGCCGGCACAGGTGTTGTTTTCTTTGCAGCTGTGTGCCAGGCACCATGGTCACTTTCTTCTCAGGTCCTGTTTTATGAGGGCCAGAAGGGAACTCGCTCTGATTCCCACCCCCAGGAGAAAGGAGGCTGCGTGGGTCAGACGTGCTTACCCCACCCACTACAGAGGGCCCTACAAGTGCCTCCTACTGCAGCCCCACAGCTCTGCGTGTCAGAGGGAGCCCCGTGCCGCAGCCATGGGTGAGTGCAGGGCTGGGGAGGCTCCTTGCGGGGCACCGGGAGAGACTGCCCTGATGGGGATCAGGGGCATCAGCACACGCAGAGGGCTGCGCTCCCCTGCACCCCTTCATGCCCACCCTGCTGGTGACCTGGAGTTGGGTTCTGCTTTGGGGCCAGGAACGTTTTCCTATGAAAGCTCGTCTCGGTCAGCTGTTGGTGCTGTGCTCCACCTGACCCTGCCTTGTGCGTGGCTTTGGGGACAGGGAAAGGGCAAGCTGCTCACCCCTTGGGCAGAGCAGCAGAGGCCTTCACTCCCCGTCTGGCACAGAGCACAGCGAACGTTGTGTGTTCCTGTGTCTCACGTGAGTGCTGGAGCCAGGGGCTTTCCCACCTCATGTCTCAATGTTTTCACATCTTTTCCCTTTTCTAGTAGCCCAGTGCCTTCTACTCCTTGCTTTTGTGCTGGTCTTGGCTGTCCCAGGCCTCTCCGTGCCTGCAGAAATCCTAAACACTTTCAAGAAAACCTCCAACACTTTGGCAAACGCTCTGAAGAAAAACAGTAAGGAGCATTCCATGGGTACTGCAGTGCTCTCACCAACCCCATTGCCATTCCTTGGTCTGAGCCAACCAAGGAGTGCTCTCAGCGTCTCCTTGTGCCAGGTAAGATGTAAAACCACCTGTTTCCTGCCTCAGGTTGGCCCGAGGACTGCAGTGAGATCCCTCCTGGCAGCCACAGCGGCGTCTACATCATCCAGCCCTCAGGGCTGCACCCCATCATGGTGTACTGCGAGATGAACGTGACGGACGGGGGCTGGACGGTCATC